GTTTTAAGTCCCTGGGTAAGTAGACAAATATACCAGGTTTATTAACACCTGATAAAATAAAGACACAGTGTAATTGACAGTTTTCATCAGTGATTAGAGAACTAAAAAGATAAGAACAAACAGACTAATCAGCCACAAAATCAAATCGCTGAATTAAAACCCAAGTGTTTAATTACCTAAATTGCAATCATTGAAAGGTTGGTATTGCTGGTTTAAAGCTTTTCCACTGGGTAAATATTTGTAAAACAGAGAAACATAAAGGGTGGCCAATAGCACTGATTTATGAAAAGAAATTGTCATACAAGGGTTTCTGCCCGACTATCAACAAAATTAAGTAATACTGTTTAAATGCAAGACTAGTAAGTAGCTCAATAAGCAGCATCTTTGCATTATCAGTATGTTAGGTCTTTGCCACTGAGTTAGCTAACAAGTTAAATATTTCTGTACTAATTCATGTACAAATCCAATGGAAAAATTAGGCAAGAAGTGGCACACAAAACAAGACATACCATGAATTAGAAATGTAATATAGTGCGCCTCAGTAACGCATACATGTCCGAATCTCAGGTAAACAGTATCTTCTCTGCTTGCCTCACAAGAAGATCTTGGTAACTGTACACATCACCAATGGCGACAAATGTAGCCTCAGAATGTGTAGATGACATTAAAAGAAAGTTCACAAAAAACTAAATAGATTAAAGTCAGGAGCCAAAAACCAACACCGGACAGAAGAACAGCTCCAAGCCATAGATCAGTTCCTGCCTGAGTGCTTTGAAGAATACTGCAGGGAAGTGAGGCCAGAAACACTATCTGTGTGTGTTGAAAAGACTGGTGTCTGGCTGAGAGAAGCAGCGTACGTGATCGTACCTTCCTCCCTATCATAGATGCTCCACACACATCTGGCGCTTCATTCCTTTCCAACACTGTCATGTTTTGGAAATATTTTTTTTGGGATGCAGCAAAGATAATGGAAACAGTGAGGACCCGGAGAGACCTCAGGTTTCCAAAATGATCTTGGCTGTTGTGCTCATCGTGCCCTTATTTTAAATGGTGAAAATAAATCAGAAAACCAGATATTGCCCAATTGTTCATAAAAAATAACAGGTAGGCTAGTGCTACTAACACCAGAATCAATAATATGCTCACTTATTTAAGGAACAAACAAACTGACAAATAAATCTAAAATAAAATTAAGTAAACAATGGTAAAAAGGTAAGGTCTTCAGCTTGGATTTGAAAGTAGTCAACAAGTCTTCTTTTTCTGTCAATCTATTCCACATTTGAGCAGCATAAAAGCAGCTTCACCACATTAGTTTTGACTCTGTGAACAGTCAGGAATCCAGAAGCTGCCAACCTGAGGTGTCTGCGGGGTTCCTACTGGGTCAGGAGATCTGATAAGTATCCTAAACCGTTTGGGGATTTATGGACAAGCAGTAGAAGAAAAACTGGCAGCCGATATAGTGATCTGAGAACTGGAGTTACATGCTGAGCTTTTTGACCTTGGGCAACCTTGGCAGCAGCATTCTGGTCAGCTTCAGCTGTCTGATTGTGTTTGGACAGACCTGGTGAAGGGTGCACTGCAGTACTTCAACCTTAGAGATTAATTGCATGTACGAGTTTTCTCCAGATCCATATGGTTGACATTAAGTCTCTGATCCTGACTACTAATTTACGTCTTATTTCAGGATAACCGCTGAGGTTTCTGGCTTGACTTTTCTGTTCAAGACAGACTATCAAGAGCATTTGGAGCAATGCAGAATCAAAGTCAAATAAAAAACTTTGGTTCAACAAGTTTTTTATGTTTCTATGGTTGTGATATTCTGGGCTATCAATAACTTGACTGGCTAGGTTGGCAGAAGTATATTTCTTGTAAAGGTCTGTATGGAATCATTTTGGATGTGGTTTTACAGAGAAAAGTTTGGCCAGACTTAGAAATGTGGCTCTAACTACTGTGCACCTCTGGCTCACCTTATCAGTTGGTTGGTCAATTACTTTGCTTCAGACTGAAATAAATATCTAAATTGATGTCATAAAATTTGATACAGAGATGATAATTTTACTTTCAACATTGTAAACCAGAAGTGTATGCTAGAAGGATACCTAAAGTGTCATATTTTTAAAGTAGAGGCCCACTGACCAAGCTGAAGAAGTTGGGAGTGAGAAAGTGATAGGATACCCCAGGAGGGTCTTTGGCTACATTACTTAACCTGCTGCAACCCAAGACCTGGACATCACCTGCTAAACATCAGCATGTTAGCATTGTCATTGTTAGACGTTAGCATTTAGCTCAAATGACAACTGTGCCTATAGAATGATAGATAGATAGATAGATAGATAGATAGATAGATAGATAGGATAGATAGATAAATAGATAGATAGATAGATAGATAGATAGATAGTAGATAGATAGATAGATACTTTATTTATCCCGGACGGGAAATTCAGTTATCCAGTAGCATACAAAATACAAAAACATACATTTAAATGGTACATTAAACATACATTAAACTAAAATTAAAAACCCTAACCTTAAGAATAGAATTAAAAATAAAATAAAAGATAAAATATAAAGTATAAGTATATATATAATATATAAAATTAACAGTAGCTACAGTAAACAGTGCAAACAGTAAACAGTGCAAATGAAGTGGAGTGCAAATGGAAGTAAAACAGGTAGGTAGGCAAATACAGGTAGAAATTGTCCATTGTCTATTGTCTGTTGTCCTCCCTGCCTTTACTGATAGCTGTTGTACAGTCTGATGGCCAGGGGGACGAAAAAGTTTTGTGTGACACTTCATGAACCAGCTGTTTTTGTGCTCAAACCTAAACCTTAAATACAGGGGTGTAATATTAGAAAACAGTTGTTACATCTCAACTAATAAGCAGCATTCTCTATAAACTATCTTTAGGCAAATAAAGTCTTACAACCATTTTTAATACGGCTGCAGCTGCAACTATTTTCATCATCGATTCGTCTGCCAATTATTTTCTAGATTGAAGTGTAGCAGCGTTCAGTTTGGCTAGCTCACTCCCTCATAGCAAATAATGCATCCGAGACCTGCAAAAGAGACAGACTTTAGGGGGTGTGGCCTCGATACCGACCGCAGTGACTGACAGACCGGCCACAGCAGTGTAGCGGGAACAGTGGGCTGGTAGCCAGAGCTAACTGAGCTAACAGAGCTAACGGGGCTAATGAGCAGCTGCTGTCAGAATCTCCATGTTGCTGGAAAGAAAGTTTACAGTCACTAGAAGCACATTCATGGCCGTTTGTAGGTTTCTGTGTTGTAGCTAAGTTAGTAGCTCAGAGAGGCTAACTGTCCAATGTGTGTCTGTGTGGAATGAAGGTAAACATTGCAGTCCGTGGGAGTTTCTACTGCACCAGAATATAAAAATAACAACAACGAGCATAAACTCCTGTAAATGATGCGTCTCGATCAGTATACATGCAAAATGAACTCAAAAACCAAGTTTTAGGGTGGAGTACCTCTTCCATTAAACATTTGTCAGATAATAGTGAAAAATGTCCGTCCCAGTTTCTAAATCCAAGCTGCTGTCTTTAAATGTCTTGTTTTGTAGAAACAAATCTCAGTTTAAGAAGCTGAAAACAGCTTTTTCTGCCATTGTTGCATGGAAATTATGTTAACAATTAATTGATTAAAATAGTAATAGTAATAATAGGGATTTTGAGAATTTTTGTGTTGATCGACTGATGGGTCGACTAATCGTTGCAGCTCTAACTGATGAATAATCCTGCTGTGTTAGATTCAGCACAGAGTAACAAAGAAACAGAGAGTATCATGTGACCAAGATCATATACTGGTAAAAGGTCAGGGTATGACAATCAAATGATGAAGGGAATGCGTTTTTAATGGCAGTCTACCTAGACCATGGATCAACAACATAAGCTGGAAAATAGTTTGATTTGTGAAAGGTCAGAGGGAAACCAAATCCATTAGGAATTGACCTCTGGAGTCATCTCGGTGGAAAACATTCACATAAATGATCAGCTTATTAGAATTTCTCCTTACCTGCCATATCGGTGGCGAAGGGTCGGTCCGGTCTCCAGCCGGTGTACCAGCCCACAACTTTACCCCCGGACACCAGGGGCCGCTCATACGCTCTCCCTCCTACGAACCCCACAGGCCAAACGGAGACACCTCGAGTACTACGCATCTGCAAAGAAGGAAAAAATATATTCACTCAAGCTGAACACATCAGTTTTAAACACTTCAAGATGGTTGATGGACCCAAAAGAGACAGAAAGCTGTCCTCTGACAATGTTGGAGGAATTCATTTCAGGTTTTCATCAGGATTAAAAGTCCAGCAGACTGGGGAATATAGTATACCATGATGATGAACTGAAAACTGACAAAAGCCATTTGACAGGAGAGTTATTTGAACGCAGCAGGAGGCAGATCTGCTCCAATATTCTCCTCTGGGGCTTAAAAGTACGTTTTGATGTAACAGCGACACCACTGAAGGCCGGTGTAAGTAGAACATGTTCTCAGGGTCCTGCGTTTACAGATGATGTAACACGTTAACACATTATGATGTGGGCTGTGCTGCCCAATTTGTACATGGGCATCTCTCACACATTCTTTACTCAAGCAGAAGTACAGATAAAAAAAGACTCCAGTGAAAGTAGAAGTACTGATTCTTTACTCAAGTAAAAGTAAGTATAAGTGAGTATAAAAGTACTCTCATTACTACTGTCTGTTTCAAAGCTGACTGAGACCTCAAAAACCCTTTTATGTCTGTTTCGTGTCACGTCTGTCATGTCTGATATGTACCAGTGTTTTTTTTAATTCAGAATGTTATCAAGACTTTTTAAAAAGAGCTTTTATCGTCTTCTGGATGCAGTCTGATGAGGTATATGAGTATGTAAGTATGGTGACTTATATGTACATCACATCTATAGGCATATACAGTTGTAAGCAAATGTTCGGCCACCACTTCCCTTGACAAATTACACATTTTGGTGATTTTTTTAAAATTAAAAATATGTAAACACAGACTCTTGAGGGTGTTGAACATAAAACACAATATTTTCAACAAACATTCATGCATTGTAATGTTTTATTTCATAAATTGAAAAGCTTTTGCACCCTTCACTGCCTCTACTTCTTCCCTCCACCCCATACAATGTTTCGTGTGCCACTGGATGCAACACAACCACAAAACATTACAACAATATTGTGTTTTATGTTACATACCCTCAAGAGGGACATGTCGGGAACAAGAAAACACTGAATTTGTCAAAAAAGAAGACTATTTAGTCTGTATGATTCTTAAAAATTATAAAAAAAAACAAATGATACAGACAGGGAATTGTATAAAAGGTTAATAATCTGCTCAAAAAACATACAAATCTACACAAGCTTCCTGCAGTTCACAGTTTGGGTTCATTGAACAGTTCTAAATATAATATGAAATATCCAAAAATATATAAAATATGACACTTGATGAGATGAATGATAGAAAAGGGTTCCTTTAAGGAAAAAGATGGAACCACTGCACTACTGCGACAAGCACAGTTTCCAGATTACTTAGCTAACATTCACAAAAGTAGGGCCAAGATTTCGTGATGTTTTTAACGTTACCCTACAATAAAGTAATGTACCATAACACATTGTTTATTTCTGAGCTGATTATGGAGTTTAAACTACTAGTGAGCCATCTCGTTTTTTCTGTTGAACACCGATGTGTACCGATCGGACAGATGTACTGCGGCGCGAACACATAGCATCCGTACACTTTCTGATACAGCCAATCATAATGTGTTAAGGCATCTGTAAACACAGGACTTTTCTTGTCAATCACAACACAAGTTCTGCAAAAGCAAACCGGACATGACGTCTGAGTCTGCGGCCTGTTCTGAGTGGAGTCGAAACCTCCCTCAGAAAGTCAGTGAATGTGCCGCTGACGTCGACTCTGAGATGAATTACGTGTGCGTCAGTTTGCATGAGTGATTAGAGATATTTAATTTTGTCTGAAATGTGGGTGAGAGCCGCACGCAGGGACTCTGTGGCTAACTGAATCGAGGACTAAATGAAACTGTGTTGCACGGAGCTGCCTTCCATTTTCACAGTGAATGAATTTGCACACAGCCAGAAGCAGTGCGACGAGAAATGAGACAGCGAGAGAGAGCGAGATAAAAGACAGGAGGAAGGGTGGGTGGGTAAGGAGAACGCGGGAGGGAAGGGTTGACTGTGTGAGGACGGCTGAGTTTTTGTGTTGGAGTATGAGACATCTGTATCTTGGAGGTGTGTGTGTGTGTGTGTGTGTGTGTGTGTGTGTGAGATTCTATTTTCCAACCCCGGCCACCCTGAAGCCCGTTCATTCAGACACTGCTCCTCATCGCTCACCCAGACAGCCTCCAGCCAGTCGCTCATGACAAAACAACAGAACACAACCAAATCAGTAAGCAGCACTGCATTACTGCGCCCAGACATCACACCGAGTTCCAGCTTTTAAAGCCACCGGAAACCAAGTGCAGGTATCGCACAATATATAGACAGGATTTACAGTTCTGTTGCAAAGCATCCAAGCAGTCATGGAGGGAGAGAGCTGGAGTGTGTAACATGGTCTGTAGAAAAATGAAAACCCATATCTCTACTAAAATGTATTTATAGGTGAATCATTACCACGTGAAAAAGCACGACTCAGTGACACCATTTTTTAGCTCACAATCACATTTTTACTTGCTAACAGAGATTCAGGACACAGATGAGAAGATGGGAGAAAATCCAACAAGGGTGAGACAAAAAGATAGGGATCAAAAACTGTGACTAAACGAGACACTATAGAAATCAAAATTGCTGGAACGCTAGACACAGAGGTACTGAGACGAACCGGCACAGAGCAAAGAGGACTTTAAATACCCTGGTGACGAGGAAACTAATGAGACACAGGTGGAACCAATCAGGGCGGGGCAAACCATCAAAACCCGGTGGGAAAGTTAAGTGGTAAAAGACCGTAAACTCTAAATAGGTTACAGTAAAACACTGTTTATGTAAACAGAGTTTTAAGGGAATTAAACTGCCATAAATAATATAGTATATAATAAAGTCGTTTTTTTTTATTTTACAGAAAAAATTGCACAAAAAACTGTCCTCATATCTCAGGGCAAAAACTTGGAATTAAACTCCAACTTTAACCATCAAATCAACAGTACTAATGTCCCTATTTTTTTACCGTAATACAAAGGTTTTACTGTATTTATTACCGTAAAAAAAATAACATAAAAATAATCAAAAATGTTACAAAAACAGTACAGAACTTACAAACACATAAAAAACAACAGGACCCGTACAGTACATATACAGTATAAACATTAACCCAGGTACAGAGCTGCTTTACATGGTGAGTGACATCTCAAGAGGATATTTATATATACACATGTCAATGAAGGGTTGCCAAGTTTTATGGAATTACTCAAAGGTACCTCAGGAGTTTTTCCAGTTTAAGGTGTTGCGTAACAGCATGGTGGAGGTTGTATCGGTTTCCAGTTGTCGGATAACATACACGCCGATACCGCGATGTCTGTGAAAGGCTAATATATTCCCTACCTTAGAAAAAGCGTTTCCATCTACCATTAAGCAAAAAGCAAAAACCACCTCAAGCAAGCAACTTTTGCTGTTTCCATCATCCTTTTCTAAAGCGACACACAGTGACAGCCCAGTGAGTGTCCGGTCAGGTGGAGAAAAGGTTCATGTTGATGTATTAGTGATGGGGAGAACTGTCAATCTGACATTGACAGCCCAATTAAAGGATGTCTGCCTCGAGCAAAGTGTGTATGGAACCTTGCCAGAGCTCAATGACAGAACTGTAGAGTTGCAAGGCAAGAACATGTAAAACACTTTATATGAACATGCTGCTTGAAGTCACCACTGACTGTAGCTTCTAGTAGATAAATTAACTACAGTGGATAAAATGTGAGGCGGAAGTGAATAAAAGAGACTGACTGAAACTTGAGCCAAATCTCCAACACCTGAGACAATTACTACATCAGCATCATGTTGATTTGGTTCCTCCTGTTGTTTCACATTGTGAATTTGATGTCTGATGAAGGTCCATGACTGAAAGCTCGTTTCTCTAATAAACTCTGACAGCGAGCAGGATTACTACCCCTGTTTTCTCTCCACATGATTTAATTTTCCTGCACACCTGTCCACCAGATGAGCTTTAAAGGACCAGTGTGCAACAACTGAAACTATCTAGAGCCAGTGTTTGGTTTTTCAGTTCTGGGCTACTGTAGAAACATGATTATATGCTAATAAAAACATACTTATGAATACTATATTACATTTCTGACAATAGATCCTCCTCAATGTTGGACTGGACACTGGACACTGGAGCTTTAAATGAAACAAATTAACTGTTCTGTTGTTCAGTTTAAAATATTTGTGGGTCAGTGAGGATTTTATTTATTATATTTCTTTAATTCTGTTAATACAGCAAAACTACGCTCTAAAAAATGTCTGTAGATTTTATTTTGAAAAGACCGTAAAGTCTAGATAGGTTAAATACGGTTAATCACTGTCATATCAATGGCAAACCTTTATTTATAGAGCATTCATATGGTATTTTCATGTAGCAAAATAGTTTCTTTTGATGGTAAAAACTTGTATTTATACGGTACAATATGTTTTGTTAACTTTGTTGACCATCAAACAGCAGTATTACTGTACAGGCTGTAGAAAAGAAGGATTTCTTCAACAAACTTAATTAGTATTAATCAAGTCACACTTGATTTTGTAGTGAAGTCTGACATTGTGTCTCTGCTTCCTCCCACTGTACAAAAATGAAACCAAAGTATCCTGGACACCGATATCGAAGTCGCCCGGCTGAACTTATCAGCGAAACAAACACTTCAACAAGCATCAGTGTGATAAGAACAACCTAAAATGACCAATGATTTTTCAGTTTGTCCCATCTGCTAACACGGAGGCACAGCCTTAATGACCTACACTGCAGTCTGTCTGTCGCCACCAGGGGGCGATCCAGATGTTTTGGCTTCAGTTTTGAAGAGCTGTCATGTCGTCCATCTTTATATATGTTGGTGGTCTGTGTGCAGTCACAACCCTGGTCACTGTGATCCTGTGCACTAGCTGTAGAAATGTTGGTAGGTATGTGGCTGTATGCTGATCGGCTAACCACAACCCGGCTCCGTA